GGGCTGTTTGGTCACTGATCCCAGACAGGAAGGCTGGCCTCTCTACTGTCATTCTACAGGCAGGAAAAAGAAAAATGTAATACAGGCATGCATTTGGCAAATTTCCCGTTACTGAGCAAGAGGCTTTTTACCAAATTGGTGCTTCAGTTTTCCTGTTTTTAATCTGTGTCTTAATATTTGAATGAGAGGATGAGTAGCTTGATTCCAAGATGATTAGAAATTTAAAATTAACCACCACCATTTTGAATCACATTCAAAACCAAATGGGTAGCCAGTGCAATTGCTCGGTGCCAGTTAAGTAATGACTGAAACATTCTTTAACAGCTGAAATTTCCACATGATTTTCATGGTCAGTCTCACACTGTGTGCATGACAACAGTCCAGTCACAATACAAATAAAACATACAAAAGTAGAGTCAGACCTGAGTGTACTCACAATGGGTATGGCTGGTGTACTGCCTGAATGAAGCAGCTCAGGATTACTGGCGGATGTGGCTTTGTTGTAAGGTATTCAGCTGCAGCTAAAGCTGGGAGCACTTTTAAACCTCATTTAGGGCTTTAATGAAACTGCACTCCAAAGACATCTAGAAGTACAAGACTTGAACAGAAACTTCCATAGCACACCAAAGTTCTCTGCTATGGGAAACAGCATTGAAATGACGACAGGGAAACATACCATTTGAAGCAAGTTGCAGGTTTAATGAGCTTGAGGGAGTGGGGTACAAGGCAGAATGCCAACTACAGTATTGTAAGAACAGCAGTTGAGAGAATGGGAGAGCCCACTCAAGATCTAATGAGAAGGATAACTAGAAGGAAACTCTTTCAAAGCAGCCATCATGGGGGAACCTACTCACCTGGTCCATTGTCAGGGGTGTTGCTCATAAAACAGTCAGGGGTGGTGGGTAAAGGGAGCACAGAAATGAGCAATACATAAACACAGGTGGGAAACAAGCGTGTTCTGTCCTTCCCCTGTCAGCATTTCTTAAGAGCAAAGAACAAGGAGGAAAGCTAGAAACAAAGCAGACAGAGATAGCAGGAATAAGGTATCTAGTTGATTCTTCACCAGCCTACTTGGTTTGGTGGAAGACGAATGGAGCACTTCAATCCATTTTTAGCAATTGCTCATTCAATTACAAGGCTAGTACCCTGGTACAGACACTGGCCTGCCCAGCAGCCTGATGACTGCTCCTTTATAAACAAACCAAAATCCCACCTCACTCCCTTCCAAAAGCCACATGGAGATATAGCAGAATACGTATTATCTATAATAAAATACCACAAACAAGATTTTGTTTTTAATACAAAATGTATGTTTACTATCAACACAAGTGAAAGAGGGAAGAATCCTGGAGGAAAAACCGACTGTAGCATCCTTCACAGTCTCTTTGGGACCCTGCTGGTTGGGAGAAATCACTGACACTGACCCCCATACCCACCACCTGTGGGCTTCAACATCTGAGTTGCTCCATGGCAGGTAGAGCAACTCAGAAAGTCAGCTGTGAGTGAAGGGAGGCACACTTGAGGATGTAGCCAGCAGAGAACTGGCTGCACCTAGCATGGACAGGAGTATAAAGGAGGGAGAGGAGAGCAACTGTGAGGAGTCGCTCAAGAGTCACTCAAGTCACCCAGGACAGGTGGAACACTCCTAAATCCTAGTCGTGAATAGCAATACTCACAGGGACAGCTGCCTGGAAGTATCACCTAGGCTGGGCTTGTGTATTCCTGGAACAGCCCATTCCTGAGGAGCTACGCTGCCCAGGGAAGAACATTGGGGAAGACCATAGCCTTGCATTTCCCTCAGTGCTGACCCAACTCCAGCGCTGCTGGTGGGAGCTGATAAGGGACCCACAGGCCCAGAAGGAGTGGCCATCAGATGTCACAGGCTAGGGCACCAGAGAGGACTGAATGAAAGGCTACCCCTGTTTGAACTCTGGGAGTTAATCCCTCCTGAGTGAAGTCTGCATGAACTTGGGGGAGGCAGAGGGTGAAGAAGAACCATCTCGCCTACCCTGTGGGAACTAAGGGAGCCCGTATAGAACCATGGCTCACGACCAAAGACCCGGTTATAAACAGATCTTTATTAAAAGTTACATGGCTGCAGCATAAGTAACTCTCCTGTTTAGTGATGACTACACCAAAGGGGGCTCTTTGACTTCCTCTTGCACATGAAAGGTTGAGGACCCAGAGCACAGGATGGACTCCTTTTCATGACCAGCCATGATTCTCCTTGTCTTGGAAAATAAAACAACAGCCGGGTACTGGTGATTGTACAGAAAAGCAGTGATCAGAGATGTGTAATAAGTTTGGCTTTTACCAGCAATGTTATGTAAATTAAAACATTTTACTGTTTAATTGGCTTTACTCATAGTTCTCATTCACACTTAAATTTCCTATAGAAAAAAAACCATTACTGGACCTTTACTTTATTTAGAAAGTAACCTATTATAATGATAAATGAAAATAAACAGCAGCTGTTCTCTAAAACATGGATACAGATGCTTGCATAGTTCAAGACCAACTTCGTCATGACCACTGTTTTATAGCTTGCTTTTTTATAGGGCTGTTTTGGGTTATTGGTTTTTTTTTGTAAATAGCTGGGGAGGGGGATGGACTGAACAGGAAAATATGGTGGAAGAAAGACCATCCTTTGCAACCCATCCTGACCCAAATTAGAACTGCCCCCCTTCATCCCCATTTGCTGTGAGAGATGGAGCTGCCACTGATATTAATAAGAGTTTTCCTCCCATTGCAAGCAGTAGCTATAGCAAGAAGGGGAGATTATTATCAAGACTGCAATGACTGGAAGCCCCATCTACTGTATCTGTAAAAAAAATCAGCTATATACAGACAAACTACAGTACTGTATGTCACAAATATCACATATACAGATGTTTGACTTACTCTCAGTGTATAAATTGTAACCATTAATCACAAAAACATGGTATCTTTCATAAACCTATTTCACTTGGACGTTCAGCTAAAATAAAAATAAAACGCTTTAGCCCAAACAGTGACAGTTCTAAAGCAAATTCTCATTTCAATGTTTATGCTTTCTGGAGAAATTCTGCAGTAAATACACCCTCACAATAGAAAGGAGGGTGTTAGCACTCACCACTCCAATTCCTATTTAGACTGAAGCAATCTGTTCTTTCACTTTCAGTAATTGCTAACCCGTCTGACTTGGCTATAATTACTGCCACTATTGTTATAACATTTGTTCAAGCTTAGCTGTCTGGCCCTCTCATCAATAGCTGGACAGACCTGTTATTAGCCTCTCTTTATTATACTCCACATCACAGAAAAAGGCTTGCAACAACTAAAGCTGCTCCCCTTCACATTCACTGAATTGCAGCTTCCTCCATAGCTTCAGAGACACTTTCCAAGCAGCTGCCCAATTGCATGCTTGTGTATGTGTGTGTGTGTGTGTGTGTGTGTGTGTACACACACACACACACAGAGAGAGAACAACATGGCCAAGTAATGCAGGCACGACTCAAGCTCTGCATCCTACGGCCCAACTCAAGACACCCTCCAAGAATTACTGACATACATACAACTCCTTTCCATTTGCCACTCAGTATTAACAAACACCTTCACATTTTAGTCACATCAATACTCTTCTGCTACACATATTTCACAAAAGAGGAACAGATTTGTACATGGGGTAGATATATTCGAAATGTACCACTTGAATTAATAAAATTAGATACTGGGGGAGGGGTTAGCTTCTCCTGATTTGTATCCAAACACATTAAGACTAGGCCATGGGTTCATCCTTGGAAGCCCTATCCTTCTCTTGTAAAAAAACCCTCGTATCTAAAACATACAACGTGCCTTCACAATGAAATGCTGGAGTGGAATGAGCATTTTAGAAAGGCCCTTCATTTTAGACACACTCCTATCATCCATTCTCAATATTGACACAAGTTAAGGCAATTGTTTCATTAAAGCTTTCCTAGTGATAACTGTAAATAGCTAGATATACCTCCCCAATATTGCCCTCCCTGTCGTTTTTTTTTCCTTCTTGCAATGCAGCTACTAATACAAGGAGGCACAATACAGTATTCTTTGCTAAATATTCATTTCATCTTAAAACACAAGTCTATAGTTTCAAAAAAAAGCACCCCTGGACAAAGATCTGTAATCATGAAGCACTGATCTAGAATAACTTAAAAAAATCTAAATGAACATTTATCTTATTCAAGCTATACTTATAAGACAGTATCTCTGTACCCTACCACCTCATGAGTCTCATCATTTGACTTATGCATAAATGTTCCCAGTAAACTATAAGCGGCAGCCCATTCCTCCAATGTTGGGCCTGAGCTGTCACCCACGCAAAGTGTAGACTTGGGCATTTCATACACAGATTAGCTAAATTCCTTGAATAACATTAGTGATCTCTTGAGGCACACAGGCTGTTATAGACGTGTGTCCAGCAAAGCAGAGAAATGGAAACATTCAGCTGCTTTGCACCATTTTTTTTCTTCATGCCCAAAACATTTCTGTATACCATCAAGCCTTCCCCTAGAAATCATCATGTGCCCCATCTTCCCATGCATAGGCAGCCCTGGGAAGCCAGCCCCATGAATGTGCGTGTGCAATAAGAAAGGCATGTGTCAGATAACTAACATTTACAACCTTTTGTATTTCCTTACACACCAGGGCTCTCTCTGGGGCAACGAAAGGAAAGAGGCGAACCTCACTGACCTCCTTTCATCCTGTGCCAACACATCCACCCCGGCCCCCGTTTGGACCCCGGCCCTCGGCACGTGTCCGCCCTCTGGGGCCCCTGAAGGGCCCCCAGGACTCGCCCCAAGGCCGCCCCAGAGCAGCAGGAACCGGGGTGTGTGTGGGGGGGTTAGAGTTGGGGGGGGCTCCAGTTCTCGGTAACGCTGAGCCCGACCCCTCCAGCGGGGGGGCGCCTCCTCCTGCGTCACTTCCTCCTCCTCCTCCTCCTCCTCACCCCTTCTCCCCTGCCTTTTGCCCCCTTGCCTGACCTGAAGGCGCTGGAGGTAAGAGGCCGGCACGTAGCCCGTCTCCCCGGAGCCCGCCCGGGTCACCAGCCACCAGTGCTGGTTACTCCGCTCCAGCAGCAGGAAAGTCTCGCCGGCGGCGAAGGCCAGAGAGCTGGGCTCGGCCGAACGGAAGCCGTACAAGGCCCGGTACATGGCGGCGGAGGCAGCAAACGAGGACAGGGAGAGGGAGAGAGACTCGGACGGACAGCCCCTCGAGGCGACTCCCGCCGGCACCGCCGGCGCGCGATGTAAACACGGCTCCCAAAGTTCCGCCCCCGCCCCGGGCCTGCGTTGGCCCCCCCCGCTAGCTGACGTCAGCGCGCAGTCACGCCCCCTCCTCATCTACAATACGGCGGCGCCCTCTGGTGGTTGGAGAGGCCGGTGGCGTTGCTGAGGGAGGCGGATGGTCTGTTTTTGGGGGTGTCCGATCCAAGGCCTTGGTAGCCCAGCGTTTCCCATGGGCACGGTGGCACAGTGACCTTTTCCCGCCACGTTTCCCAGCAGCTGATCTTGGGAGGCATCCTGCCTCTCATATAATCGTTATAATTGTATTTTTTAATGATTTTATGCATGTTATATTGATGTGTTTTTATCTATGTAAGACGCCCCGAGCAGACATTGTCTAGACTGGGGCGGGGTAAAAATCTAATAAATAAATACATAAATAAATAAATAAATAAATAAATAAATAAATGTGTTGTCAAATCTCTTCTTAGTAATGGCAACCCTTAAAAGCGTGTTGCGCTACTTTAGATATTTATGGAATCGTTTACTCTGAACATGCCTCTGCCTCAGTGTTCCTCATGGCTGGACAAGGATTTGAGCTCTAATCTTCAGAGTCTTCATGGGATGCTACAACCTATGGCACCAAGCTAGCTCTTGCATCTGAAAGGAATACTGGCAAAAGCAAAAGAAACATTTTTTACAAATAAGGCAAAAACGTTGTGGCAGCTTAAAGACTAAATGCTACATTTTAATGTGAGCTTTTGTGGATAGGTCCACCTTCTGCCACAACTATTTTGTCCTCTTTGGTTTTTTTATTTTACAGTACTTTTGGCTTTGGCTGTTAGACTAACATGGCTACCTCTTCTAAAAGTGTGTCTTGTGGTTGCAAATTTTGATTATGTGCTGTGTGGGGAAGTATTTCCTTTTTCTCTCTCTCTTGAGACTAGAGTGGTCCATCGGTCCAGATAGGTGGGGTATAAATAAAATAAATAAATAAATAGTATTCAGCTTCATTGGATAACCATGACTTCGAGTATAATGAGAAAAGGGCAAAAAGCTTCTCCCCATCCATTTTCTGTACACCGCTTGTTATATGGTGACTTTAGCTGCCCTACAGTTGAATCTCATGAGAGGTTTCCACTGTATTTCCCCTACGGAAACAAATAATGGAGACCAATTTTTTTTTCCTTTCTTTTGGGCAGTCTTTTTATTAGGGCTATTATTCATTCAGGCTGCATTTCCACTTCTCACTTCTGCCATCTTCTGAAAGCCTGAAGTTTCTTCTGTTGCCTATTGCACAATTGAATCATTTTGTAGAGTGACAACTGTGGAGTGAAAATTGTGATATTTGAACACACAAACATTCCTTTGGTGGATTACCATTTGGTAGAACACATCTGCTCCTAGAATGTGCTTTCCAGGGGAAGACTTTGAGCAAGACACCAACTGCCTGCAGAAGACAGATTTGAGAGTAATACCTTGGAGCAGTGGTTCTTAACCTTAGGTCAGTGGTTCTTAACCTTTGTTACTCGGATGTTTTTGAACTGCAGCTCCCAGAAACCCCAGCCAGCACAGTTGGTGGTGAAGGCTTCTGGGAGTTGCAGTCCAAAACTCCTGAGTAACCCAAGGTTAAGAACCACTGCCTTGGAGCATGCAGAACCTTTCTCATTAAAATACTGCTTCACTTTCTCCTTAAAATGCAGTTGCCAGGTTGGGAAAATATTATGACTATTGCTATTAACTAATGGCTTTATTTATTTATCCAATGGCTTTTTTAATCTCTTAAATTATTCTGCAAAGACAGACCTTTTTTCTTTTAACACTAATGGTTTTCTGTTCTAACTTTACAAAGAGCATGAAGATTCCACGTGGCTAACTAGAAAGGATTGTGAGGGGATCTCACAAATCGGCCACATGTGCCATAGAGAAGGAACGGACTGATAGCCAGATTCCTTTTCCATGCCAACAGTTATGGTCATTTCTCACCATTGTCATTTTGTCTAGGATAGGTGAATGCTGAAGGGTAGAATCTCCATCCCCACCCTCACTGACTCATACCCTATGATGGCAGTGCTCGACCCACTTGTTTGCCCAAAGCAGTCTGCCTCTGCCCTCTTTCATTCTTCATAACCTGCTTGCACTGGGGGAGGGGGATTGGCTCTGACCTTGAAAAAGTTACTTCTCTTCATTACAATATCCTGAATCCTTGCAGACAACATAGGGAATTCTGGAACTTACTGTGTTAAAAAAGGAACTTCTCCAAGTTCTGGCTTTGATAGTATCAGGCTCTTCCCTCTCCTGCCTTAGCGTTTTATCCTGAGCCAAGCTGAAATCAGATTGTACTAGCTCAGCTGCTCCTCCAGTTTTCAGCACCATGCTCTTTTTTATATGGAAGAATTCCATAGTCTCTCCAGCAGGGCTCTTGCTCTTTAAGCAGCAGCCCAGCACACCACACAGTAGGAAGGATGTCTTTCCTTATGCTCCAGCTCCACGTTGCCATCTGTTACAGACCTTACAAGAGTGTGGGCCTCAAACACTTAAGATTGGCAGCCCGACATAAGATCTGCTGGAAGTATTCTACTTATGCTGCTGATTGGGGTGTCCTTTTGGTCTTCATGTAACTGGGCAAGGGACACATCTTTTCTAGGACCAGCGACCTTTTAGGCGACAAATGCTGGGTGTCAACAGAGGCTGTTCTCTAGGCTGTTCTTTCTGAATTTCCCATGTGTTGGCTTCTATTTGAGGTAGAACAGTCCATGCCCCATGGTCTGTCCTCCCTTCCAGCTCTTCTGTTGATTCAGATGTGGAGGGGCCTAAAATGCCAATAGGAACAACTTGTGCTCTGAGCAGAGTGTACCTTACCCAGCATTTTGGGATGAGTCACATTTCCTTGCTGAGAAGGGATGAGTCACATTCCCTTACCTGAAACGGGGCATGTTGTTGCCTCAGGCAGCAGCATGAATTGGGCTAGCTGGATTCTTTCCACAACGTTGACTGTGAAGAGCAAGCAGAAACACTGGGAAAGCAATGAGCCAGAATCAGGAGTAAATGTTTGTGAGGAACTGTGAGAGAAGTGTAACTGATGTAACCTGAATGCAGGCCAAATTTCAGGAGGCAGTGGAAGACAGGAGGACCTGGCGTGCCCTGGTCCATGGGGTCACGAAGAGTTGGACACGACTTAACAACGAAACAACAACAAATTCATGCCTCAGCCTCCCTCACTCCCCAACATATAAAGATGAAGAAAGAGAGCCAGCAGTGGGTTAGGCCCTAGGTTCTTAACCTGTGGTCTGCAGAACTCTGAGGGGGCCCACAGTGTCACCACAGAGGTCCACGAAGACTTGAAGAGATGTTATGATCTTTTGCAGTTAAAATAGAAAGAAAAGATGAAAGAAAGAAAGGAAAGGATACGTAGA